TATCTGCTTTGATGATCTGACGTCATAACCATCTCTCCAAAGCTACTCCCTGCCGACAGCCTATCGAGGTTTGGGCCGACTAAAGCACTGCGTTCTTTGTTACTGCGTGGGATTGGACCAGAATCTTGTTGTGGTCCTCGTGGCAGGTCTTTTCTTGCGTGTATTGATGCTGAGCCTTTAATTATAATACCAAAACTGAAATTTAAACAAAGGCAAGTCTCAAAAATCTCCATTTTCTGATCAAAATATTTCTGATCACTGAATGTTGATACACTTTCATTAATTTATCCTGAATTGAATTAAATCAAAATCCATATGAATCTAAATACCGTAAAATTCCGAAAATAAGCCCCTCCATGTATAAGCCCCTCCAAATATAAGCCTCCCCAATCCGATAATGCAAAAAACCCTCCGGGGGCTTGTACTTGGAAAATTGCCCTCAAATACAAAGTAAAACAAAGCAAAAACGGTAAATTTACTTCCAACTATAAGGCTAGCCCAATCGATTTTGAAACGCAAATTTCCCTCCGTAGATAAGCCCCTCCGAATATAAGCCCCTCCAAAAATAAGCCCCTCAAAAAGGGCCTTTGAAAAATATTAGCCCCGGGGCTTATTTTCGGAATTTTACGGTATATGATTAATTAAATATATTCATTTCATACATTCATATCATGATCCCGGTCAAGCCTGAATTTTTTTTAGGTTCTTTGTCAACCGCTTATTATAAGTTGTTCAAACTGTGCGAAGATCATGTTCACTTTCATAAATTATGGTATGGCCCACAGAAGTGAAGGCAATTTTAGCCTTTTAGACAGGAAACTAGGGATTTAGATGCCTGTGTAACTATATGTAAAAGATGGAATGTTTGAAGCCTCACTGTTACTTTGATCTCACAGCTGCATGTATTTGGTATTCAGGTTATATTTTTGGAAAGTCAGGTTTTTTTTTATAAAGACCGCTCGGGGATGGGGGTACTGATCAAGCGAAGTTTGCGTAGAAGTGTGCCGCCAAGGCTTTCAAATCCTAACTCTGATTAAGATAAAAATTGTTCATTTCGCTACCTACAAACCTGGCCAAAAGGTTTTGGGACACCTTCACTTTTTTCCGTTACGGAATTAGATTTTTTTAGGGAAGATGGAAATGACCAAATGTAGACCGCTTATCGCCATCCTTCACTCTCTTTTGAAGGCTTCGGCTAGAAAATGGTACTCTGTTCAAGACGCTAAATAGTGAAAGTGTATACCCTGTTTAACACTCAAGGCGCTGCGGAAAACCAAATCCTGTTCAGGGGCGGATACCCCAGTTTTTGGGATCTCCCCCCTCTTCCCTGGGGTTATGTACTAAAGTATTGCAAAATTAATGTTCTGCAATTTCAATACTTACTGCCTTCCTTCCTGACCCTGCCACACTATCACATGGTCTCTCTTAATTTTTCTTAGGTTGGCATTTTTTGCAATGTCCACCAATATATCTTTGAAATAAAAAAAGTGACCATTATCGCTAGAACAGAGAACTCTAATATCGTTATTTGCTGAAATTTTGTGAAGTATTCTGACAAAGTTATTTTTAAAATCTGTCTTATCTTTACAGTCCTTCTCTGTTCCATTGAGTGGGTCAAGGTCAGTCAGTATTTTGCCCCGATGGGTTTACTTTTCCTGTTATGATATTTTGACTTCACTCGTACTTGAATACAAAAATTATTTTTTTCACAGGTGGTCTTGTTGGGAGGTAAGAGTAGACCTTGAATTAATAGTTCCGTTTAAGTTCCTGTTTTGGCGTCTTATCCAGCGTTTATATTTTTTCATTGCTTTTTAGTTTCTTTCCGAACGCAACCGTGAACTTTCGTGATACCGAAACACTGCCCACACTGAGTATGCCTTGTTTTTATCTTAACGCAAACATGTCCATATCCCCACAACTTTTCCGCTTGTTAGTTGGTAGGATTTTACTAGAGTAATAGGAGGAAGAATAACGATGACTGAAGTGAAGATCTACGTGTGGGACTCGGCTTTCGGTACCCTTTCGCTTATCGAGCCAATGCTCGAACGACCCCAAGAATACAAATCAGAGCTCTTTCTGGTTTGGATGCTAACCACTGGGTTACACGAGAGTAGCGGCTCTCAACCTAGCCAATTGAAAAAAGTAATAACAAACTACGGATTATAAATTGCGTACCGATGCAAGCAGACGCCAGGCAGTAAAACGTCAAGACACAAGTAATTACTGACATTCAACATTTTGCTAACTTCCCCCACTGACACTTTTATTGAATCATTTAAACCCCAAGGGGTACTACAATCACGTGTTCTTGTGATTTGGTTCTTCGTTAGCCAGTTTAGGTCAGTTTACAGTCATTCAAAACTAATTTTAAACTTGTTGCGGCTTGCCACAAAGCAAGAAACTTGGCGCAATTAGAATGACGCAAATGACAATTTCAAAGTACGTTATGATAACACCGCTTGACATACTTGCTAAAAATCATCGTGACAAACATAAATCCAGATTGTAAGGCATAAATAGCAACAGGACACCCATGGAATTACAGTTAGGAGACCCAAAGATTGGTGTACTGAGTGCCTGGGGGCTCACAGCATAAGTCAGTATCCTCAGACAAGTTCTAGATCACGAGACGCCTTCATCCTAGGCCTTCCTTGTTGAAGAACAGTTTACGGTATACCGGTGTTGTTTCACAACGAGACGGTAAAGGAAAAACTAAAATAAACTAAACATAAAATAAAATAAATAAATAAATAAATAAATAAACAAACTCGGAAATTGGGAAGAAATTACGTTCACAGAAGTTAACATTGTAATCCATAAATAAAGAAAAATGTTATATATTTTTAAATTAGATCTTAATTTCGTTTTTCTCTACAACATTATCTTTGCATTAAGGACATAATGGAATCGTACAGGAGTAAAGACTACTGGACTACTGAATCCACCCTTTATGGAGAGAGAGAAAATGCTAAGTGGTCATACCTAAATTCTCACTCTCACTGCCGTGTGTTATTTGCTGAAAACGCTCTTACAGTAAAGTTCTTACCTGTACTGAGGTTGTAAAACAGAGGAGTCCTGGTTCTGAACATTGGTAGAATTTTTTCAATGTTTTCTTGAGATCGGCTCTCCGATGAGCTCGACAGCACATGTTCCATTGGTTCTAACATAACGCGACCAAAGGCATCTGCAGCCGCCATTACCACTGTTCAGTGATAAACCTTCGCCTCGTTTGTGTTTCCAAATCAAATGGTCAGTTTAGCAAAAACAACAAAATCTAGTTTGCACGAGTCATGATCTCGGTTGTATTTTACTTATATATATATTTTTTTTAATTACGTGACGTCACAAAACTTAGTTAACATTCAACCAAGTCGAGCAATAAACCAAGCAAGCTGTATAAGGTATTCCAGTATTTGTGAACAGCTCAGTTCTGATTATACTAAGTGTACCTGATAGGCAAAAGAGTACTGCCTTGGTTTCAATGAAACATGTTTATTTAAAATTGTGTATAATATCTAACAAGACAAAAACAATAATTGCTTTTCGATTTTTACAATGGATGTCTGAATCAAGGCATGCGCAATACCGCTCTTTTCTTTTGTGACGTCACAATCAAGTGATTTGTTCCAACGCATTCCACGACACTGCACGCCACACTCGCTGGTCGAAGATTCAAAGAATTTTAAAGATAAGGATTCTTTCCTGATTTTGATTGCCCATGCATGTCGGACGTGGTGCTTGCACTACAAGATGTAGTTTTAACGTGAAGTGTGAACTTCGTTTTTTATTTTAAAGAAGAAAGAATAAAACCTTTTAAAAAAGGCAATAAAATAATAATTAAACGACATTTTTCAATCTAAAGAATTTTCCAACTCTGCCGAAGGATTCCATTTACGTTTCTATCACAGTTTTGATCATTTCTCTACTACAAACGAGAATTTTTGAAAATAGAAAGGTAGTTTATGCCGGAGCTGACCGACCTGTTGCTTTGTCAACGCTGTCATAGATCTCTTACAAGCAGTCTTAACTACATGCTGCATCCGCAATTCTTGGAGTTGCGCAATAGTCACTGCCTTACATAAGAAAGGCCCACTTAACGACCCTAGTAATTGCAGGCCTACATCTCTAACATGCATCTTATGTAAAGTATTTGAGAAATTGCTCATCCGGCATCTTAACACCCATGTGCGTGAGCAGCCTCAGCGCGTGCCAACACGGCTTTGTCCACGGCAAGTCAGGCCTCTCGAATCTTTTACATCAACACAATTTTAGAGAATTGGAAGGAAGTGAACCTAATTTTCTTAGATTTTCAAAAAGCTTTTGACATTGTCTCACATCAGCGTCTTCTACTTAAGTTAAAAGCTTATGGGATAACTGGTCAGGCGTTATTCGGTAATTTTATTCGTATACTATTTGGCAAAAGGAAACGTAAACTAGAGATTAAAAAAGTGAGTATAATGCCGCGAAAAGATGCAGAGCAGTGGAACATCATAGAAAAAGGAAGTCTTACATACAAATGTTGCTAATATGAAGCCATTTTCGAGTTCCAAAAACTCTCACTTTCAATACTGGGCTAAGCTACTGGGCTAAGCGCAAAACCTTTCTTGTAAAAATGTGTTTTGTTCGCGAGTGAATAAGAAATCATTTTCATATGAATAGCTTTGCACTGAGCCCCGCTTTGAAACAGAGGCTCGGGGTATATATAACTAGGAAATTGCCTATTACAAACGTTTTTAGGGCAAAGGGCTACAAGGATTCTTACGTGTTCTTTGAGATTTGAATCTTTAGTGGCCGGTTTACAGTTATACGAAAAAAACTTGAAATTGCTTGAGCGCCAAAATGTGGGAAACTAAGAGCAACTAGAAATGGTAATAACTACCCAAAAGGTGTAAATTACAACTCATTATTTTCTGTTTTAATCTATGCTTATCTTCAGCCTTCTTGGTTATCCTTTTTCATTTTTTCACAGGGACGGCTTTCTTGGACGCCTACACTCTGGGCTAACTTACGTGGGTTTTCTGGTACTTGAAAGCAAGATAAATTACATACCCTGCAGAAGTACAGCCTTGTCCCCTTCCTGTGTGAAAAGAAGCGTTTGCCAACCAAAGATCAAATCTTTCGAAAGCATAGTAGGAGATCAACGCACTATCAAGGGCCAAGGAATGAGACTCCTGGTTCCAATTCTCACTGCACTTATTTTTGTTTTTGAGCATACCCCTGTTTACAGCACCCAATACAACTGTTAACGACAGTTATCGTTCTCTCGGGACTTTTCCAATCAAAGCCTTTTCATAACTTATGGTCAGGTTATGGTTCCCTTGAGAGCCTGTAGAATTTGTATATTTTCATTGCTAATTTTATGCTTGGCGTCGTTAATGTCAGTTGTTATTGCGTCTCGCCGGTGCAGCATCCAAGCGTTCTGCCTTTGCCATGTGTCTTTGGCCGCATTGCTACACAATCGGTAAGATTTGTACTTCCTAGCGCCTTTTTTCTTCATAAGTACGTTTTCCTCATTGTTATTTTTCTACTAATTTCTGTTTAGAAAACCTCGCCGGGAGAAGCGTTTGCTAAGCGGCGATCTTGATCCTTGTACAGCGATATATGTATCAATAAGAAATAAGTTACGCGGCTATCCGTAACAACAACCAATCACATTAATAGGATCAAATCTCTTGTCTGTTTTTGCTTGCTCGTAAGTTTTCCCAATAATAAATTTTTTAACAATCTTGTCGGACTGCAATTCTAACTGTTCTAATGTTTCCTCTAAGCGTTGAATGAGTAAATTTTTCCTTTCTTAAAATGTCTTATTTTTTAACTCAATGACATTAAAAGAAAAATCTTTTACATTTCCACCGCAGAGGACGTCAAAGCTTACACCAGCTGTGGACGATGATGTTGAAGAAAGAGAACCTGATGCCATTGTTATCTTCAATCAGCTTCAATAGAAATAAGAAAACGAAAACCAAATTTATCGTATATTTTGGAGGACACAGCGGGCACAAAAGGCATAAAGGGCAGAATATGAGGGTTGTTTTTTTTTTCTCAGGCACACGCGAGAAGGTCGCGCGGGAAAGTTATGCGTGGGAACGCACTCGCGCCTGAAGTCAGAGAATTATAAAAAAAAACACTCAAATTCTGCCCTTTATGCCCTTGGTGCCCGTTGTGCCCTTGAAAATAAAAGATAAATTTCGTGTCGCAAGTAGATTTGTTCAGTTTGAAGTCCGCTTTCGTACCGTGATCCACATATCAATGAATAACACTGAATAATGTGAGCTTTTACCTTCAAGATATCCATTCAATCGTCAAAGGTTGTTTGTCATACCTGTTGTGCTTCAGGGAGATCGGTAATCTTTAATTAGGGACTGTTATTTGTGATTACTCTTAAACAAAGATTACGATTCCAATACTGAAAGCTGTTGCGTGACTAGGGACGCGCGACACCCACGCGTGTGTACAAGAAAAAAAAGACACATGACTGAAAATGGCCCGTTTGTCTCCTTTTGTCCTTTTTGGCCTGGTTATGGCCTTTCCGGCCTGTGTTTGGCTTTTCTGATACTCTATATAACCTGACTATTTGCGAAATAGACGTCATTTGTGTTCAGCCATCGAACTGTCAACAGTTTTTTGAACATGGTTTACAGGAGAGTTTGCAGAAACTGTGCCTTGTCAGATTAGCTAACCATCTCGCGGATGGTCATCAGTTAGACCACATACAGCGAAGACAGTATTTACAAGAGGCGGAACTACAACCTAAAGTTAAAGTCGTCGTTATGAAAGTGAAGCGGACAATTCCGGAAAAAATTACTAAACTAGTACTCGCAATCCAGTAGGGTCGATGTAGTGTCGATTATGGGGTCGATGTGAGGTCGATAGGAGGTCGATGTATTTGTGGATGGAAAAATATATAGAATAAATGAGGAGGTGGAGGTGGAGGAGGGAAAATAATAAAATTGCGGAGGAGGAGGGAAATCCTGATTGACGAGGGAAAATAATAAAAATTGTGAAATTGTGGGGAAGAAAATAAAAAAAATTGAGCAAGGAAAATAAAAAATGAAAAGGAGAGGGGTAAGTAAAACATTGTTTGCGGTGTAAAAAAGAGCTAGTTTGCCTTTGAGCTTATTGAAATGCACGATTTGCCCGCCAAAAATCAGTGAACCGGAACTAGGACGATCACAGCAGCAGCAAATGCTTGCATAATTACGTTATGTCTCATTGATTTTAAGTCACAGACAAGTTAACCAATGAAAACGTTTCTTATCTTCTAACTATCCAATCGAAAACGAAGACGTTTATCGACCTTAAAGTGACTAAAAAACCTAAAACAATTAAAAATAGCACATGACCCTATCTTTATGAGATTCCTGCGCATTTTAAACATGGGATAAAGACAAATGGATATGACGTCATTGGCGTTAATGTATTCCCCCCAAGATAGTGAGATTCCCCCGCAAAAAACCGAAGTAACCGATGCGCCCTATACTACTTCAGATATCTCTTTTTGGAACAATTTCTTTCATTCAGAAATTTAATTTTGACATAAAATAAATGAAGAATGCTAAAATTATCCGTTTTGTTGCTGGTTGGCTCATGGTTAAATTTTCCTAGAGACTTTGTACACCAGAAATTCCAACCTTGTTCCCAGGGTTTTTCCCTCAAAAATAAAGCCCTGGGAGCAAGGTTGGTGATGGCTCTCAAATGCATCACAACAAAGCCGGAAAATTAAATTTCGAGGATGAACCTTTTTAGGAGTTGATTCCTCCATAAATACCCGCAAATTTCAAAATTTTGCTCTTTCTACGCAGCCAACTATGGCGAGTTCCGTGTGGAGATTTCCTCTACCTCCCTGAAAAATTAATAACAAATCAATTTCTAATGTATTTTTTATGAAAAGCCCTCAACCACTGAGGAAGCAGAATTGACCACAGGAATTCATACATTAGCGTTCATATAAATATTTAATGAGGACACGTGACCAGCCGATGCCAGGGCCTTTTCCCGCCCCACCCATTTTTTGAGAGAAAAGCCCTGGGAACTGAGGTTGCAGAAATTCACACTGTTTTGTCTTTCTCTGCGATTTGGCATCGTCTTGAAATGTAAACTGCTTTCCAGCTTTGTACTTTATAACTTTTAAAGCTATGGTAGTAGCGAATTGTGAAGTTCAGTAGTAAAATGTGGAAACCAACGCTTTTTAATATTAAGAAGCTCTAGGTAAGTAACTTGTTCCGTTTTCTAGCCTTTCTAAAATCGTTGTTTGCAGATCAATAGCCGGTTTTGTTTATGGCATGTGGTCCGGATGCCTTTTTTATGGGTTTACCGGTATAATAAACCATAGGTTTCAGTTTGAACAATCAGATCGCGCGTACTATCTCAGTTATTTCTACCCGGTCGTCTATGTTAAGTTTTTACTTCGGCGGAGCTCGAAGTAAAGGATTCGCGACGCTCAGGAGTGTCCCAGAGTTGCTTTTTGTATGTTTTCGGTTTTATTCGGCTGTTTGACGAAGTGAGAGCCGAATTGATTCGAGATATCTCGAGATCAGTTCGATTTTTTTAATTTTTTTTATTCGAGATTTGAGTTTGAGAGAATTATTATTTTGGCTTTCCCGGGGTTTGAACCGACTCACCTGTGTGACCCGTCAGATGAGAAGAGACTCGAAGTTGAGGTATTAGCCGATTGCGCCACTGCTACCCAAGGTAGTTTGGGATATGAAAAATAGCTATGAAACGATGCACTAGTTTCGGGACAAGATTGGGCGCGCAAGTTCGTTACTTTTCGGCTTGTTTCGGCTATTTCACGAAATGAGACCAGAACAAGAATTCGCCGTTGAAGCGTACACTTCGGCGTCGTGGGTGTGGAATGAGTTCTTAATGCGGAGGCATTGATAAGTACATAAAAAACTGTAATATATAGATTTAGCCAGGGCTAAAAGCGAAACTCTCGATTATGCTAATAGTTTGTTCAAACAAAATATTAAATCGTGTAATATTAAGCGGCGAAGGCAACGCCGGAGAATGTTGAAAAACAACAATAGGTCTAATTAGCAAAAAAAGCAACTTTGCACGTGTAGCACACTTTTTTTGTACATTTCTTTGCCGTTGTTTTGCACGACTACAACGTGAAACTTCCAGAAACTTCTTAGTTACACTTTTTATGGAGGAAATGTCGTGGTACGTGTTCTCGTTCACTTTTTTTCACTGCCGCTCATTTTCACCTTGCATTGGTGGCCGCTAGCATTTCCCATTTTGTCACCGCCGCTACAACAACATTTTCATGTTGTTCTTCCAACAAAAAATATTACCTTTGTTTTTTATTTGTCGCTTTAGACCTCTGTCACCCTTTTTCTCGTCTCGTTTTCACTGTATTAGAGCTGGAAAGTACGTTCAAACACTGTAACTATATCTGGCAACTCTGTAAACATTAATAAAGCGTGTCTCGCTAGCATCGATGAACTAGAATACAATTCTTTTTCAACATTCATTATTTGAACCAGATGATTACCTGAATTAACCTTTAGTATCTTACTAAAAATTAAAGGGGTCAAACTCATTGTAATACATTGCTGTCCAGCATTTCGCCCAAATATTGCAAAATTCCCTTGACAATATGGTGCACTAATTGCTTTTGCGATATCAACATTAACGAAAGAAGGTCCTGGATTCTCTTCGATATCATAACAAAACTTTAATTTGTTACAATTGACCCTCTGGCTTAAACTTATATAGTCACTTGGCGGAAAATTACGTGTACTCAGGGGCAAATACTTCCTTAAAATCTTATTTCCATATTTCATTCCAGTTAATTCTTACTCAACCTTTTCTTACTCCCTCTTTCCTTTATTCCTCTTTAAACGAGAATTTGCACATTTTACATAACAATGAATTTTAGACGACACTGGGGTATTTTGCCGGACACCCTTCCATACAAATGCTCTTATCTCTCTCTTTTTGTGTGAGAGACGTCTTAACGTCTTCACCGGAAGTCTGCGTGGTGCATTTCTGCGTCACTGTAAGCGAATTCGATCAACATTTCCGACATAAATAAATTGCGCATAACGAGATCTCAGTTCAACTTCCTTTATTTCCTGACAACAATAGTTTCCTTACCGTTAACTCCACACGTTCTCCAGCAACGTAACTAACATCAGAACACTCCTTTACAAAACTTGCTGATAATGCACAATCTCCACACTGAGGATAATTCATGTAGAACACCGCAACATAAATTATTACGTGCAAAACAATTACACGCTATACAAAAACAAGCATGAAAACACTTACCTTTCCAAACAAAACCAACAGAAGAACAATGATAGTTCTTCCTATTACAACCTATGCGAAACGACCATAACAGTGTTTTTCTTCCTCTAGCTTGTTGATAATCTGTCAGTTGGTCTACACACAACGCAAACGACTGCTCGTCTTTCTCTTTCTAATTACTGTTGCTGTAATCTTCTTCAATTGTCCAAATCTCTTCACTCTTAAACGTTATACATATTCCTT